TTTATGCAACATGGGTCACTCCCAGGAGAACCGAGGCACCAGCCCAGTCCCTTTGGCCTTTCTTGCAAGACACTCTAGACTTTCAGTTTTAGCTTTAGAAGAAGACTGAGGTCTCCTGAGATGTCGATCCGACACATTCCTGGATCCATCAGCTCTGCCTGCCTCAAGTCTCGCTTAGCTCACGTAGCCTAGCATTGAGTTCCCAGTGTCATTTCAGAGTTGGCTGGTGAATTCTATGAAGATCAGGCTCTTCTGGGGGCAGACCCCATGTCTGTATGTGGGGCACAGATTTCAGCTTCTGTAAGCTAAACACGAGGATGTGTTGTGTTGTACTCTGCACGAGGTGATGCAGAAGGCTTCATCAAGCGCTTCCTGTGTATCCAGATATCCACAATGATCTTACAAGAGGCCAAAATAACAGGGTTTCTGTGCCTACCATGACTAGCTATGGAACCTATATATACTTCTCCAGCTTTCTGTGTAGATACCGAACCACAAGTTAATGTTTTGACTCTCATCTAGACTTCTGTGGAAGATAAACAGAAACTATATATAGAATTGTTAGCCCTATGTCTCATATGAAGTCAGCACTCAGCAAATGCCAGCTAAACTAATTACTAATACTCTTGTTACTTTTACTCTAGAAAGTTGTTATTTTGTGGAGGTCGAAATGACTGATTTTATAAATCAGGACAAAAATAAGACAGAAAACTCAAGCATGGGTTTTAGATCCTATAACCCTCTGGATGTGTCTGGTAACCCTCCAGGTGTGTCTCCGGTACCCCTCTGGGAGTCTTCTGTAACCTTCCGGATGTGTCCCATAGATACAGTCAAGCTGGCTGGGCCAGGCTGACTCTGAGACTGTTATGAGAATTTTTTTTGTGTTCACTTACGTTTCTGTAAAGCGAAATACCCTCATGTCCCTTCATAATGACTGCCTGATGACCTGACCACTATATAGTGGGACGACATTGTGACTCTGTGTTTTATTGATTACCTTTCTCTTGCCACTTCATTTTCTTTACCAGTATTCTCAAAATGCAAACTTCAAAACCAACTCTCCAGGTCCTTTTGGAATAAATGAATAAATAAAGGAAGCGTATACTTTAGTTGGAATGTCCGCAACACAAACACACACACTCACTCACACACACACTCACACACACACACACACATACACACACATGCTGATGTGCTGGTCAGGCATGGTGGCACTATGGTTGGTGGTGGATCTTTAGGAAAGGGGACAATTAGATAACATTCAGGACATTGGGAGCATGTACTCTGAGGGGATAGAGTGGCCCCAGTTTCTTCCTATTTCTATTTTTCACTTCGATGGCCAGTTTGCTCGCCCACACATTTCTACCGTGGTGTACTATCTCACCACAGACCCCAAGATAACAGGACCAATCCAATCAATCAGGAGTTGGAACCTTAAAAGCCCTGAGTTCAACTCAAACGTTTCTCCTTATAAAAGCTGATTGTCTCGCGTGTGTATAGCAATGAAGAGCTAACACAGCACAGAAAGCTGGAGTCATAGGGAAGAAAGAACGTTTGCTTCATGCGGATTTACTGTGAATGTTGGGTGGGTAAGTGAGAGGAAGTTGGACTCAGTGGTCAAACCAAGAACCAGTCTAACCAACCACACCACATGCTGGTCAGGTGATGGAGACGGTCGCTAAGGGTTAAGGCAAGAGCAGGCGCAGGAGAAGTCTATAGCAGGGGGATTTAACCTAACCTATAGTATTAGAATGGCTTCTTGAGCAAGTGTAGTTTCAACTGGCTCTGAAGGATGGCCAGGTTAACCCAGGGTGGTTAAAGGAGGTACGCCATGAAGACTTAGTAAAGATTGCAGAAGGTAGGTCAGAGAGTAGAGTGGCTGGGGACAGTCACAGCTCAGCCAGTGGTTGGGAGTCTTTCCAAACCTACCTTACTGGAGTCTCCAGAGAGGGGGACACCAAGGTGACACAGTTTCCATTCTTCAGGCAGGGCCTGTAGCCTGTAATATTCTCCTCATATTTTGGTTACCGTTAAAAGTTAATTCTGGCAATCCCATAGCTCATTCCTAGGACCTCTTTGAAATAAAATTATACGTGGTGCCATTTCCCTTCCTTCTGAAATTCCTATTGCTGTATTTTTAGTACATTTGGGGGGAGTAAAAAGCATCACTTACTCCTAGTTTTCCATACAACTTCTCCTGATGACTACCTCCTTTTAAAGAGGTTTTCAAAGGCTATGCAGCCTGAATTAACTTCTCTGTGAGAAAAGGTCTTTTGTGGTTTATAAATTTTAATGCAGGATACTAACTGCCAGGATATTCTTGGACCACAACCAGGGCTTTAAGCAGCCTCCTGTAGCAGCTGAAACGAGGCCAGACTGACCCGCACCTGGACATAGGGTCCTTTCATCCTTCACGTTCAAAGTCAGGAGACCTCCTGGTCTCGACCTTAGGACATCAAGACTTTCCCTTTTAAAATCCAGTTCCTGGAAATAGGTCTTTGCTGTGCTGATGGATAATTTTTCACTTCATATTTTCTTAAGGGACATAAATTCTTCTTTTTTCTTCTTGCAAATAAGGGAAAATAAGGTCTGGGGTCCACGGTCTTCTCTGTATGAAGCAGCACAAACCATTGCTGTCCTGATTTTTAAATTCTTCATTAGCAACAGGATTCCTACACTGCCCTATTCATTCCCTGTTCCTCTTCAGACACTGAGCTTACTATTTTGATTAAAAGTGCTGAGTAAGAGAAAGTTGCTGAAAATTACCCTCGTAAGTGAATGCCTGAGCCTCTAACCACACAGGGACCCGCTCTGCTCCCATGACTATTTGGAGGCCCTTAATCAATGTGGCAATGAAGAAAAACTGGGTTTTTGGTTTTTTTTTTTTTTGAGACTTGGTGCTTTGCCTTGTGCCTTCTGCATCGTTTTTTCTTCCCCAATACCAGGAAATTCTCTTGGAATAGAGAGCCACTCCAAGCCAGCCAAGTGCAGTTTTGCAAAATTTAAAAAGACGCTCCCTCTGGGACTGTAGATTGACAAGGACATCCTTCTACGTGCACTGCAGACTCACATCTTGGTCAGCTGGCCTTCTCTTCTTTGGGCTTAGCCAAGGGAGCACAAGCTGGCTCCCAGCAAATCTGCCTCTCCGAAGAGCAGCTGTGTGCTGTGTGGGAACCATGCACGATGGGTGGCCCTCTCTCTAGACACATCCCCCTTGCTTGGCCTTAGCCAGCTGCCCATTGATTGCGGCTGAGCCCGCTGACACCAGTCAGCAGGATGGATAGTGGGGTTTGGGTCAGGCCCTGCTTTAGGGAGAAAACCCAGCATTTAAAGAGCAGCAGCTGCTTTCCGGGTGTAGGTGTGACGATCTCTTGAGCTCAGTGGTTCTGCTGGGGGAAAAAGCAGGCTAAGTGACCTTTTGCGGTTATGTAAATGAAAAAAGTCCCAGAAGCCATTGCTCCTGGGATATCTCTTAACAGTGTCCTTTGTGTTTGTCAAAAACTCCCCTCCCAATGATCTCAGTGCGCAAATGCTAAAGAAAGCCCCTGAGAAGGAGCCTCCTAGAAAGAAATAAAATGTGACCACTACCTCCTCCAAAATGAGGGTCAGGCTTCCATACGCACATTTGAAGAACAGATGGTAGACATTAACAGGAAGTAGGGGCATCCTGGGGACCATTGCATTGCAAGTAGGAAAAGCAGCCACCAGAGACTTCATTTTGATACTCCGTACTGGGAATGCAAATACAACGCAAATACCCAACCTTCAGTACTGATAGGCACGGTTAATATTCGCCAGTTTCTTTCCTCCAGCTTCTTGGGGCTGGACCTGGGTAGACTCAGTCCAAGTAAGACTATGGTCCCAGGGAGTCTTCTCACTGGGAGTAGAGTTAACGAGAGCTTTGAAAACCAAGAGAAAGCACATGTGAAGTTGTGTGATTTCCATGTCAGGGAGAAGCCTACCAGGTGCCAAGGAATTTTTGGTTGCTGTGGCAACCAGAACAGAAGTTCATTCTGTGGGCCCCCAGCTGGTTCTTAGCCTGGGCCTCCCCTGGAGTGCTCATGCCCAGGACCGCCAGTGGAGCAAGCAGGAAGAGAGGGGTCTCAGATGGGAAAGAATGCGGAGTCCGCATGCAGATGGCCTAAAACAGGACTTTGCTGAAGGCCAGCGTGAGAAGGCAGATGGGCTCGGGCCACAGGGAACTGATTCTGGAACTTTCAACTTTATCAGGCATTACCAACGTGTTTTATTTTGTTTCCAAGCTCTTCCTTTGGATGATACATAAAGGACGAGTTAAATAAAAGATGCAAAGTTGGCCCTCTGGAGGGAAACTAACTCCTCCAGTTCTGCAGAAAATAACCAGGTTTCATTGCACTGCTATGTCTGCCATGAAAAATACTCAAAAGCAAAGTGCCCTGCAGGAGGGGATTTGCGCCCAACTGTTCACATTTCTTTCCTGCTAGAGAAGGAACGCAGGGCTTTTAAGTGTTAGGCAAATGTTTTACCATCGAGCTACACTCCCCAGTTCTTGGAACTGTTGTTAAAAAATAGGTATCAGCTCTACTATTTAGCACTGTATGGCCTCAGATACATTAGTTAGCCTTTCGAGTGTATAATGGGGGGAGGCGTGCTTAGCACATATGAGGTAGAGGCAGACCTTTAATAAGGCCTGTTAGGACCAGAGTAAGCCCATTATAAATGATAACTATTAATAGTGATCATGATGAGATAAGAACTAACTGTGCCCTTTTAAAAATACCTCAAGCATTCCTGACCTAGGCAATAAAAGTCTCTGATCTTCCCGTTCAGATACAACAACTCTGAGTTAGTTGTTCTGAAAGTTTAAATCACTGATGTGAGAGCAGAACGGTTTATTTATTCTTTCAGAATTTCATGCCACATTTTTTTAAAATCATATTCATTTTCCTTCCTCATTCTTGCTGGGTTTTCTCCCACCTTTCCACCCACAAAACTTCAGATCCTCTCTCCCCCTCTCTCTCTAAAATATAGCATGCTTCAAAAATTTGGGTGTCATCCTTGCACATGGGCCATGTTAATCTTTTCTGTATGGTTTCAGTTTTTGTTTATGTGCTGCTGAAGGGAGCAGAGAATCATTAGCTTCTTTTCTGGAAAGAACTCTGTCACTGGGAATCAGCTTCCAGCTCTCCCACCTGGAGTACAGGGCTTTTGGAAGTGAGGCTCCCTGCTGTCTCCTGGTCTGCAACAGGCATCAGCCCCTCCTGCCCACCATCTTCCTACTCTTCTCAACTCCCATTTAATCTTAGAAACTTGTGAGACTTCCCAGGGTCTCGTGCTTTTCTGGAAGATAGGATCTTAGAAATGGTGGCTATGTCTCACACTTGAAGCCCAGTTGTAGCTTGCTTCTGTTTTGGAGGGCAACCACCTTTGAGTTTTACTTAAGGGAGCCTGTTCTTTAAGACTCAGGAAGACTGACAAAGAGCAGAAAGCAAGTCCCAGGTGCGTTTGGGGTTCCATTCTTGCTGCCAGCACCTCTGCTGTTTGTATGCACAGAGGCCTCTGCAAGGACCACCCTTTAGATCACACTCCGAGATGTTCGCAGCGTGAGTGCATTAGCTACCACCAAATGGGTCTTTGCTGCTGTGAAGTAGTAATACCACGTGGAGGTATTTACTTGGTAATTTATTGAACCAGAGTTGTCTTCAGTTAAGTTTAGACAGAGCTGACAACTGCTACTTTGGTTTGCAATTCCTTTGAGTCATTTCAAGTTTTCTCTGTGCTTCCTCATCTTTGGTTAAAAACCCAACAACTCTGGGCATGGCTTTTGTCTCCTCTGCATTTGAGTGGTTTTCTCATGGGAAGAAAGGAGAGCACACCTGGGCTGAGCAAACACCTAACCTTGGGGATCCGGTTTCATGCTAATTGCTTGCCTGCCTTCTTAAAACCATTTCTTGGAAAAATGGATATGGCTTTGTGTGCCCAGGTCCCTTCTCTCTTCTCACCCACTCCATCTTCTCTGGTTTTTATTACATCTGTTTAACCAGAAATGTTTTACTTTTACAAACTCTGTCATCAGAGAGTCTCAGTTCTATTACTGGATTTTCCTATGCAGTGCACTAGTTCCTAAACATATCCAATGTGTACAAGCGTTTTTACAAGGGTTCTGATGATCCTGCCCGTATGAGGTGTTTGGTAGCATGAGCAGCTGATGAAGCACCAAGGAAGCCAAGAGAAAGAGGTGCACCCTGGGATAGCCTGCCTCTTGGAAGACCCCCTCATATCAGTATTTTATATATACAGACCTTCCAAATACTGAGATAATTCTATTCCAAAATAGGTGTCTGAAGTGAGAAGTTTGTGGCTAGATAACCACCTGCTAGGTCCATCATAAAAGATCAAATGCTCTATGTACACATGGAACTTCTGAACTATAGAATTATTCAAAACAGCAAATCCAGACAAGCTTTGATTTCTAGTGATATGCTCTGCCAAACATAAATTCATTTAAAAAATGCTCTGCCTGTCAAGATTTAACTTAAAAGAGAAGCTCAACATCTTACTTGCTTACAATGTACTTTCTAAATAGAGTTTCTATACATTTGAACTTTGTGTTTCCTGGGTTTTTAGAATATGAGGCTCTCCCCATTCCATGTCCTTCATTACCAGTGAGACATCTGATAATTTTCTCTTCATGTGGTGTGAGATTTGTATCCTGTTAAAACGTTAGACTCCGTGGGCTGCCACTATTAAACCCATCGTTACAGAACAGGTTCCTCCAGATACCCAATAAATGATAAGCTTTGGAGTAGGTTCAAGCGTCTTGGGCTTTCTGGCAACAGATTGAAAAAAAAAAACCAAGAAAGAATGCCAAAGAATGCATTTCTTGGAGTGTACCGGGGAAAGTATATATCATGGGAGGAGTGTACAGCAACAAGACCGCTCACTCACTCTGTGGTCAATAAATAAAAGAAAGTGAGAGCTGTTGAGAGTCCCACAGTCCCCTTTGAGGACACGCCTTCCCACTCACCGGCACCTGTCCACCTGTGTCTTCCCACTAGCCCTCCCACTCAAAGGCTCTGCTGCTTTCCAGTAGTACCACCTGGAAGCCAAGCCTTGAACATGTCACATCCCCACTACAGCACATTTTATATTCTAAACAATGTCCCCCGGCTTTCATTTATCCTTCACAGATCATATCTTAAACATGGGCTGACGAAAGATTTATAACTACTTTTCTATATGAGCTAGGTCTTGATTTCTCCTTAGGGAGATCAAAACCAGAGGTGCTGTTTTATAGCTCCTGTATATTGGACCCTCTGGGATTGGATTCCTGTCCCTGTCCCCAGATCAAGCTGCTATGGCTCCTTAGATTGGGGCTGGTTGAGCAGTTACTGGAATGTCCGGGATGTAGATCGTTCATCTGAGGTAGGCACTGGACAAAGAGAAATATCACTTTAAATTACAGAAAGAGGACAAACGTCATCTCTGAAGTGCTTAGTCAGCAAAGCCAGTGTGAAGGGTGGCGGCAACTGATCACGGGTGAGACTTCTGTGAGTGTTAGAAGCCGCATCCCTCTGAGCTCTCAGTGAGTGGAAAAAGCCCAATTCTGAGTTTCTGAGGATCTCTAACTAGTGCGTGAATGAAGAAGAAACAAAGACAAATACAGACCCAGCATTGCCATTGAGGGAACATTATGTGACTCGGGGCAAAAAAAGTCACCTAGCGATTGTGAGAAACCTCCGCGTCTTCTATATTTCCACATATTTGATTACTGGATTTCTTGAGCAGATTTGTTTCAAATTAGAGCGGTAAAGTGGACTTTCCTCCATGTTCTGGGAAGATGGGAAATCAAAGAAATATGTTTCAAATCTTACTTAACCACTTTAACAATTGTTGATATTCACTTTTTAAAAATTAAGGAAAGGCCCTGGAGAGATGGCTCAGTGCTTAGGAGCATTTGTTGTTGCTCTTACAGAGGACCCAGGTTCAGTTCCCAGAACCCAAATGGTAGCTCACAAACACTTGCAACTCTAGTTCCAAGAGGACCAATATTCTCTTCTGACTTCTGTGGACACCAGGCACGCACGTGGTATGCATTCATATACCCAGACAAGACACTCACATATATAAAGTCTAAAATAAAATGAAATTAAAGAAGTATAAAAATGAGTTGTTTCTATTTTATTGAAGAAATGCTAATTATTGAGATGATGTAGCAATGAATGTCATGCTAAATTTAGAAAAATCCATTTGTAACTATAATATTGTGTTTAATATTGTTATACACATGTATCTTTGATATAGTTCTACTTAAGATTTAGCTTTCTTGGCAATGTTTAGTTCCAAAACTCTACTAGTGTTCCCTCCTCTTTCGTCTTTTGATTGCATGGTGTTTGCTGTTATGCCCAAATCCGCAAAGTCCCCCAAAATCCAACAAGGAGACCAAGTTCTGTATGTGAAAGCAAAGAGCCTTTATTTTATGCAAGTTTGCAAACTGTGTCTCTCCGCATGTCCAACGTATTAGAATAAACGAAGATCCCTGAGCTCAGTTAGAGTTGGGTTTTTATAGTAGTAAAGGTGGAGGTGAGGGGTTTCTGAGGTTCAATACCCCTGATTGGCTGACATTTGTCTTGGGGTGCCCAGGTGAGTGTGCTGGCAGGTGATCCTATCTACAGCAGTTGGAACGTTAGGCATTTCCTTTAGACGATCTGTTCTTGGGTGGTGCTCAGGTTTTCTAGTTTATGGTCCTTCCTGCAACCAGGTATTGCTTCAGGGTAGACTACTGAGACTCAGGCCTCTATTAAACTTATCAAGGGCTGAGTCCTACACTGGCAGGTGATAATGGTTGGAAGTAAAGAACTTCCTTTGGGTGATCTGTCCATATTTAGCTTATCATGGCTGGCTCCTACATTTGCCATTCTCAAATCTCTGGACTGCTGTTTGAGTGACATCCGGGGAAGCAGCAGAGCATAGTCTTCTCCTTCCCCAGACTCCACCTCTGCTTCCCTTCTCTCCCTCCCTTCTTTCTCCCTGCTCCCTGATATGTACTGTGTGAAGCTGGCTGGCGTAGCTTCCCCATGCATGGGTGGACATAACTCAAGAGTCCTTGATAGGAAAGACGAACAGGTGTGTTTCAAATGGGAGTTCTCCTGATAGGCCTGTAACATGGGAGTTCTCCTGACACGCCTGTAACATGGGAGTTCTGATGATATGCCTGTAACATGGGAGTTCTGATGATATGCCTGTAACATGGGAGTTCTGATATGCCTGTAACATGGGAGTTCTGATATGCCTGTAACATGGGAGTTCTCCTATACGCCTGCAACCATGCCAGCAGTATTGAGACCCTACTATTCATTCTAAAGGAGCGAATACCTTTTAAACAGCCCACATCTCTACTGAGAGGACACTGGCATCGTTGCTGGATATCCAGGACAACTCTCCACAGACACTGCTTGTTTACAGCTAGAGATAAGGAACTCGGTGAAAGTTTATCTTTGTCTTATTTGACAAGAAGAAACTTCGGTTTTAAAAGAGCCTTATAGGTGTAGGTGTGGGTGTAGGTGTGGCTCAGTGATAGGACATGTTGTCTAAAACACGAAAAACCTTGGCTTCTATCCCCAGCATCGAAAACAAAATTAATGGACATGCTTACAAATCAGTTGCCAACACAGGTGAGGAAAAAACCCTAGTAGTTATTACTGGAACCTGTGTAGGTAGAAAAAAACAAGTTCCTCCCACTCCAAATGCGGCCTGATGGTGTGAACCTGATGCTCCACACGCTTGACCCACGGTTTGGGAATTTTCTAACAGACTTCTCATCTGCTTGAACTTGGAATTGTTTTGGCTCATCCTTATGAAAATGGTAGCAAGAGCGACTGTGAAAGACCAGGCATCAGTTATAACTAATGAACGACTAAGCATAGGCAGGCAGTACAAGGCTAGATGCCTCTGCACCTTCTCGCAGCCAGTTAATGCTGACCTATTAGCACTTCCCATTCGGTATGTGGACAGAATGTCATTGTGTATTTTGTTGCTTTAAACTGGCCGTTTTCATGGGGTGTTGTCATCCTCTCTTGAGTTCTTCAGGACTGTCAGGGAACATGGAAGCAAACTGTGTCTCTGCCT